TCTTGGGTGTGGGTTTCACTCACGCACTGCTGACGAGTCCCCAACAGGATGAAACAGACGTCCAGTGCTCTTTGTCGGTTATCACAAACATTTCTATCGCGTGTAAATGCATGAACTTGTGGTGAATTAACGGTCTCCCAAGGAGTGAAATCCACATCCTAGAACATCAAGAGTGCCTTGTGCCTCTTAACAATCGAATGGGCTAATCCAAGCTTACTACTCTAAAAAAGATAAATGAAACACTCGATAAAATTTTTAGAGTCAGATGGGATATTGTGGCAAAGCTTTTTTACACGAAAGCCTCAGTATGGTTGGGAGTGTGTTTCGGGTTGTGGCCTTTGCTTTTCCCTGTGAGAACGGAAAGCCAACATCCAGGACTATGACTGGGTCGTTGAATCACCGGCAGTCCACGTAGGTGAGTTGACTACAAACCTTGATTCCAAGCTAATCGCACACACACCTTCCTGGTTGGGGCGTTGGTGGCCGGCCTGATTGGGTATCGAGGTGTATTGGGCACATTGGACGTTTGAGGCTGTCCAAAGGACGTATGATCCGATGAGCTGAACCCTTGTCGCCCAATGGGTTTCCTTTCCCCAACACCGCCCCATTGTTTTGCGGGTTAGGCTCTGGTTGCGAATTCACCTGTCTTAGTCTGGGCAACCTGACAGTATCGCACCCACTAGAAAATCATGAGTTCTTCTTTTTTGTGAAGATTACTATACTGTGGTTCGTTTGACACAGTCTAAACTTAAACGTATGTGAAGTACAATATTCTCACACGGATAAGTTCTTTTCGTTATCATGGAATTAGCTATCACAGTCGGAATACCACCGTGACGTGATACAAGTTCTCTAGTCTTACACGCAAAAAATGCTATAATCTTCTATTTGAAACCCAGCGAAAACGATTCAGGACATGAGTAAGCACGTCGTTTAATTGCATAATAGAGACCTTTTAAACTTCAGTGTTTACAACCATTAACCATGCATTTTTCAAGCGCCGGTTTTTGCTGCCCCCTTGGATACGAGAGCAGAATGAAGATTGAGATGTTGTGAGTAGAGTCAAAGAGAAGATGGGAAATTCTTATAGACTGGGGTTGCAAGAACAATTAGTAGATGCACGGGTGTCACTGTTTGGGACACCCAGTCAAATCAATCAGCGTATCTAACCGCTGATTACTATGAGCTCAGGGTCGACCATCTAGGTAGCCTTGTAAAGATTTCGGGCGAAAAGGTGAAGCGATAGAGACCGTACCTTGNCTCCGGAATACTTCCCTGACCGATCTTCAGGTACGTCGTTGTCAACATGATTACGATAGTTCAAAAGCACTTTTTGTCGGGTGTAAATATAATATATATCTATTCAGTCGCAGAATAAACATGATTATGTTTAGGATGAATGCCATTCAATCTCCACAGTACGAATATGGGTTTATCCCTTTCATTTAGATTATGTCTCTCGTACAATATGGTATATATATAATATAATAATATATATATACCATATTGTATGAGAGACATAATATAAATGAAAGGGGTAAACCCATATTCGTACTGTGGAGATTGAATGGCACTCATCCTAAACATAACCATGTTTATTCTGTGACTGAATAGAGGACGATTATAACTAGGAGGAAACGCGTGAGAAAGGCAGTGTTCCACGGTTTTTGGAGAATACGGATACAGACGCCGCAGACCGAATCATAGCATTGATTCTTCATTGCACTGGCTCTGAAAGAGCTGTCTATCCAATGGTCATCCGGCGTTGCAAACAAGGTTATTGTGACGAATATATATATATATATATTACGTGTCATTCATAGAGTACATTTAGTACGTCCTCGTCTAAAACGGACCAACCACTTCCACTTCCGGGTCTCAGCTTTGAAGAACATCTTATAGTGATCGACTTTTTGGTGAATAGTCCCGTACCTGACAAAGATCTTATCAACAAGACATTTCACGAGGACAAGTGACACAAACCACGGTGACAGTGCCTTTTAGCTCAACATACTCTCGGGCATGTGCGTATTGGTCACACACGCATACATGCGAGAACAAAGTGGGCGTGCAATGGATGTTACCAACGCTGACCTGTTGCCGTGTTTAGTAAACGGTGTCATCTATGTGAATATTGACTAACTTTGACTAGGAAAGCCAAAAGCGTCACGGAGCGGAACCTGTCGTGAACAATTTCGCTTGTACACACACACACTTCCATAATGTATTTTTGATGAGAAAATAAAACTTTCCTTTCCCTCTTTCAATCGTCCGGGCAGGAGTGTAGTGCACAAACCGCACAGCAAATACATCACAACATCATTCCATCCATGATGTCACGGGCATGAGAAGCAGATAGGGGGAGCGAAAATACGCTTCGCGCGGAAAAGATGGGGAATATTCCTTGATACAGGCTCAATAGTATGGGAGCAATATATTGAGGAGGAAAAATTGGAGGTCAAGTAGAACTGTGGAACGATGTGCACAAGAGTCGAAATGCGGTTTGGGATGACAAGGATTGCGGTGGTGGTATGCCATTGAAAAAGATTCGATTTTGTCGAGTCAAACAGCTACGACTCTCACATCTGAATTGAAATGGTGCAGCTAAAAGCACGAGGATTGTTCTATGAAAGAGAGTATTGTAGAGTGGTATGATCGACAAAGGCACGGTTAGGATTACCCGTTGCGGATAAAAATCTAGTCGCTGATTTCGCGAGGAACCACAATGTGCGGCTTCATGGCGGACAGTTAACTAGTTTGACAGCCTCACATCAAACAATTTTCTCAAACCAAAGCTAGGTGGATATTTGTGGAGCATTTATTTGTTCCGGGCGTGAGCGTATCAGCAATGGGATGAGAGTTTCGAGAAGGAACGCCATTGTTGAACAAATTCCTTTTGCGCACGGACCAGGAGGGAACAAGCGTTCGTAAACCGTTCAGGAGAGTGTCGTTTCCAGGGCTCAGTGGAGCGAGAAATAGTGATGTGCAATTGTTTGATGATCTTAGAAAGGAAGATGATCAGTTTGGGAAAATATGGGACTGCACGCCAATAAAAAGACAACTGTGTTTGAACGCGCTTCACTGTGCGATCTGGAATTTGGATGAGGAAGTTGACCGTGTGTGATAGATGGGTTACAACGGTAAACGCCTCCACCTCACTGCCTATGGCTGTGGGTGTCGCGGAGTGTGCTAACCAGTTGCTGTTGTGAACGTTGAACTCATCCAGCATGAGGAGTGGGATGTTGAGAGCTTGTTTGCAAAATATATTGCCCACGTACTGGGAAATAAGACCAAGCACAAGAACAATCAGGTCTGTTGGTAGAACTATGCGGATTGCGATGTCCGAGGGTTCAGACACAAGAAGTGTAATTCGCGACTGGAACCATCCCGTCCAGATTGACGAATGACCGGTGCTGAATGGTGAACAAGCGCACATGTACCAGGTTCGGATAGAAAGAATGCTTAGGGTGTTCACTGAGGGAATGAGAGACGCGTAAGATCTTCTTTGAAGAGGATGATTGAGTTTCGGCGAGGAAAGAAAAATGGATGAATTTGATTGAAGGTTGTGATGCACAGAACCGATGTTGCGGTTCGGACCGCAAATGATCGCGCAAGCAATGTGAGAGCGGGTGAATGAAATGATGTAGAGTGTACGGACAAACGTAATAACGAGTTGGTTGTTGAGAAACCATTAATCTTAGCTCTGGGATATGAGTGCCGATCCATGTGAGACTTAAACCAGTAGGAAAGATATCGAAGACAAGTAAAACAGGTGAGAATATTTATTCGACCTAGTTTAATTCAGGTGGTTTCTTTACTAACCTTCTGCTCGTGGATAGGATAAAATAAAACTAAACTGGACTCCAAAGTTGAGCTCAGGAGACTGTTCACTAAGTGGGAAAGATAAGCGTGGCAGATTGAGATGGACGGTGATGGTCAAGTGATTAAAGTCATCCAAATAGTGACCCGGAAGTCCAGGGGTCGAAACGCCCCCCGCTGCTCTTCTTGCACGTTTCTGTATTTTCCCAGGCAGCCCCCGTCCTCGTGAAAGTTAGTTGTGCATTTGTATGTTCAACAAATAAAAAAGGAATGAAAAAGATACTTCAGATTCTTTTTCAATCTACTACTAGAATACTTGGTGAATGCACCTAAGTGTCATATTGTTACCGGTCCGCAAACACAGCTTTTAACAATTCATAACTGCTCCCTTCTCGCTTAGTCCAGTCAAAAGAGTAAGCCCTATAATCCGTGGATTTACTTACTGTACATGTTCTATTTCGATCGGGTATGTTGATTTTGTGTCGTAAGTATGCTATAAATTCGAATGAGGACGGAAACGTTATCCCATAGTTTGAGAAAACAATAATCGTGTGTTAAAATGCAAAAATTGGATAGAGTCACTTGCAATGGGTGACTATCTGCTCGTGTGTCGACTCTGTGAGGAAGTAAAAGTGGATAGAGGGGGAAGTAGCAAAAAAGGGACTTAATCAGTTGAAAAAAGTAATGGTGGTAAAGTGCGGATAAGGAGGCGACCACTCGACAGTGAGCCAATCACTTCCATTTGTATATCACAGTTGGGTTGCTGAAGAAGTGAATAACCTTACGTAAAACCAGATCAAAATTGAATAATGTAGGTAAATTCCTCACTCGCCCCCCCCCGTCGGCCTCTGGCTGAAGTATTCAAGTGTAGAGTACCTCTGCGCTTAGCACATTAAGAGGCGGTAAGCGGAAGTGAACAAAATTTTGGTGCTAAAAAAACGAAGAGAACGCAGCGCGATGACGAAGACAAAGATAGCTCCGCTGGGATGCATGAATCTGTGACGGGAACAGGTTGATCACGGACGATGCGACCAAACAGAATCTAGAAATCATCATTTTCTGAGTGGCGTGAAAAGGATAAGAAACGCACGTGGAATTCAGTCAATCCGATATTACTGGTAGCTTTAATTGGTATTGGGGATTGGGGTTAAACACCGTAGACAAGGAAGGGCTCGGAATAGTTAGTCATTAGTTGTGTCCCCATAAAACACAGCCGCGGTGGTGCCCCGAATCATTACCACCGGTTTTGCTCTACGCTCAAAACAAAACACATGACCAATACCAGCCACGTTCACCACATCCACATGAAGTTTGGGGAACTGGTTGAGAAGGATGCATTTGGTGACAGAGTGGGAACGACACCAATCGGTGACCTCATCAGATTCTAACGTGGTGCAGAAGATTGCATGAAAACTAGATGCACAAAACAAAGCAAATCGCATGGGGAAAAACGAACTGAGTAGTTGAGCTGGAAACACGCGGATTACAGTCACATACCTCCTCGTAGAACCCTTCTACCACATTTCGATAGACCACTTCGGCCATCATTTGCACTGATTTTTCAATATTTTGTCCCGTAATAGAGGACGTCTCCACATACTGATGATCTCCAAGGCGTTGAGCCAGACACTCTGCTTCCAGTTTAGTTACCTGAAACACAGTAGAGAGGAAGGGTAGAACAAAATATCTCATTATGATTGAGATGTATACGAAGAGGTAGTCGGTTTGCGGAGAACCAAACAATATGGTGATGGTGATGAGAACGAATGGAAACGTTTTGCAATCAACACCACACAGATGGAGGGAAGGTTTTTGGAAAACATATCCTCTCTGTTAAATCCGGGAAAGACGCTACTGTTGCTGTGTGGTTTGTCAAACACCATCCGATTGTACCGTATTGATGAAATTCTATTTGTCATCACGGTTCACAGCTTACGAGAGAAAAGGTCATCATTTACTATTTCATTGACAACGAGTACAAATCGCTCACTCAACAAGAGGTGTCACAATTAGTTCTGATCGAATCATGATATCCAAAAACACACAATGACCTTGAGTATCGAGTAAATAAACATGATAGGATTGAGCCAACCGTTAGAAAAACAAATATTCAAAGAGGAGTCGGTGGTTATGGTATGCAAAAGAAATACCCACACGCCCAACAGCGGGGCAATACGAGTGTGAAACGACGCGTACAGCACGGCCGAACAGACAAGGGTCATCAACACAGTCATGTATTGTTTGTAGAGCAGGCCTGATGAAGACACCAACAGTATCACACTTTTGTGACAGCTAAATGAGATCGAGAATTCGGTGGAACCTGTTGTTGAACGTGTGCGTTCAACATTCCTATTTCGTTCTAATGTTTGCCGAATGAGCAAACAAAAGAACTAGATTAGGAAAACAACGAGACTGAGGTAAAAAATGGGTTTGCATTTCAGAGAAGACAGAAAGCAAACAATTTGTGAGACGGATGGGTTTTATCTAGTCAGTTCCGGATGAGAACGGGCTTCAATGTGACCAGATCAGCGTTCAGATCGAAATGGTCGATCGTTCGGTTTAGTAGCACACTAACCTATAGGGGCCTATCAGGTAGTCCGCTACTTCAAGTCTCTGGGTTTAGGTTTCTGGTTCCTACAACCAAACAATAGGTCCCTGTGACTAAGTGGTTTATGTTTTCTAATATCCATTGGTTCGGTTCAATATCACGCCTAACTTAGCGCAGCCACCACTCCAAGTCTCGGGGCTTAGGTTATCGGTTTTCATCATTGAATAGCAGGTATTCGTGACCATGGGGTTCAACCTGACTGCTTTTCATCACACACAATGTCTGTACAAAAGTTCTGCAATAAATAATAAAAACATTGAATAAATAATGGAATGAAATAGTTAAAAGTGGCAAACCATTCCACTGAGTCGGATTATGCGATAACGATTTCGTTTTGATACACGAACGATTTTCGGCTAAGCTCACATTTTTTATCAGCTGACAAACAACCGTGATCCGTTTTGGTGGCCATCAAAATATATCACACGCATGAAATCCTGTTTGTCCGGATGATGTGATGGTAATTCATAGTCCAATCCTTATGCTAACGTTCAAT